GAAAGTTCTGTTGGAGGAAGGTAGAGTTCTTCTGAAGTTGAAAAATTCATTGCTGAAGAACTCGCGTGTGTGCTGTGAAATTTTGAAACGGCCTTTTGGATGTAAATGCCACTATCCTGAAAATTCTTAAACAACAATCTTAACGTTGGAGATATCCAGAGCAAATTTAATTTTTGTGATTATGGCTTTGGCAATACCAATATGTCTTCTAGAAGTTGTGATGCCAAACTCACTTTCACAGTTGTTTTGACACGGACAAGCCAGCTGGCAACCTAAGAATAAATCGTAGGCTGCGCCCAAACAACAAAATTCCTATAACTGCAAAACAAAGGTTCAATGATACGTGTTTGTGGAAACCTTTCAACCAGTTCTTAATTTTCTAATCGTCTTTTCACATAAACTCAATCCATGTTAAAGCTGTTTACTAGTGGAATATAAGCTAAGCCGATTCTTGCTTACAACAAAGCTTACTATAGCATTAATAAGCCACTAATAGTTGGCATACTTTCGAGCGAAAAAAGGGGCTGTTTAATTTTTTGATGGGGAGGAGGAGGTGTTTGTAGAAATAAAACCATATGCTATCTAAGCAAAATGTTAGGTATAATATTTCTCTTACCCTTTAAAGGTAAAATGAACTAAATGCATGATGTATTTTTTATACAACGTACTTATACTAATCATTGGATTTTTGTTGAATTACACAAAATACACTTTATCTTAAGGCCCACAACCCCGGTGGCTTAGCGGAAAAACTGGAGACTAATGACGACTAAAAAATCGGGTTTAATATTCACGATGGGCATGTAGATAGCCCATTGTGCTTAATATCAAACAAACAAACCTTTTCCTAGGAAAATATTCATGATAAATGTGTATTTAGTGATTTTTGTGTTATCAATTCCTAATATGTTATAATCCCTGCTGTATAAATTAAAATTGGCATAATATTTTAAGACCATCGCATCATATAGTCTGTTTGTTTTGAATTTCGCGCAAAGCTACACGAGGGCTATCTGCGCTAGCCGTCATTAATTTAGTAGTGTAAGACTAGAGGGAAGGCAGATAATCATCACCACCCACCGCCAACTCTTGGGCTACTCTTTTACCAACGTCACATTATAACGCCCTCACGGGTGAGAGGGCGAGAATTTCTGGTGGGACGGGGATTCGAACCCGTGAACCGCAGATTGCCAGTCAAACTCCCTAACCACCTAGCCATGCCGGGCCCGCATCATATAGAGGTTCACCTAGCTAGAGTCTGAATTATTGCTAATTACTCATTTTCTGTCAGGATAAGTAAAGGTTATTAAGGTTATTTTGACAACGTGTAATACAATGAACAATGCTAAATATGGTAGTGTTCTTTAGACAAGACAACTTCGCAAGCATTTGTTGGTACGTGGAGAATGAAATGATAACATTTTTAAACTGTTGGAATCCCGTTTAGGACAAGAATTACCTAGGCCTAATATCGCTATATTCAACGTTTGACAGTTTTCAACAGTGAATTTATGTGTACAAATAATGTTTCGTAATTTAGAATGATTGGCATTCGTGCACTCATTTTTTGTGTTATTATTTAGTTTGCAAAACGACAGTTGGATTTAAAATGTAAGGATATAAAATATATATGTTTTAATATGAACTTTTAATTGGTGAATACTTGTGATAAGATAATTAAGTAGTTATATTTAAGATTTAATTATTAAGCATGGATATATCACGGGAACGCCTTACGTTTGGCCTTAGTAGGTAGAATAGTGAAGTATGTGGATGTACTATATGTTTTCCATTTCTTCAATTAAAAGTTGTTGTTTTTTAATTATGTTGTTTTCGTAGTTTCTATTTTGTACACACTGAGGCGCTCGAGAAAGTTACTAGTTTTCCCTTACTCTTGCATAGAGCAGAGTTAGCAAACAAATAGCAGGTTGTTTGGATTTATTACAGGAATACCAAAGCATTTAATTAAAGAGCTGAGCTATTCTTGTCAGCGAATCAAGTAATAGCTAAAGACAGTCACACTCTTAATCTGCACACTTCCCGCTAGTTAACTAAGATAACTAGTGCAAATCATGATCTATTGTATTCTAAGAAACTGAGGTTATTGGCATATTTAAGCTCGAAATTTCAGATTTTACGTGTGTTTTTATTTGAATTTATTGAGCAAGTTTATGCTAATATTTCTTTTGTTTACAGTAGCAAGAACTCTTAAAGCTTACGCATTTCGTTTCAGTTAATAATACAGGTCCATAGATTTTTCATTGTTTTATTTTTACGAGAGTTCATAAAACTCTCACTTTTACTTTCATTTGCGCGAGCACCTGTTAGGTTCTCGAAGTTACTTCAGTGTTTTGTTTATAATCAAGATAAATGAACTGAATAGAAGATGGGGTTTGCTTCACGTTAAAATTGAAGCATTTTAGTGAAGCGTTTGATCCGCGTTTATTGTGAATTAGTTGTAGTTTGTGAAATCCAAGTAAGAACTTTGATTTCACCTAGGTTTAGCGAGAGTTTACTTTATTCTTTTCCGTTTAATTTGGGGTCATTTTCATTTAGCATATAGTTGTACTGAAGTCTTTCACAGTGTTTTATTCATCGTTTATTATATTTTTCTTATTCTGCTTATGATCTTTATGTGAATCAATAGTTTTTTTTAGTTGTCGCAGAACTGTTGAAAAATCCATCTTTCAAGTGGATTGTTTGAAAATACGTGTTGTAATTGGCTGTAGATATCCAAATATCATTTAAGCATTTTGTGCATAAAATTCAAGGGCCACCTATACTGATGCTCAAAGGCAACTATTTTTTAACTAAAAATTTAATGTTTTTGGACAATGTATAACAGTGGACGATTCTCGCTAAATCAGATAGTTTTAGCGCTGCGTTCCTTGTATATGCAAGCCTTGGCGATCGGGAATTTTAATTGAGGAGAGATGTCACTCCATATTAATCTTTTTGCACTTATATATTAATAATAGATCAACCTAAAAAGGGAGCCTCCATGGTATTATATGCTATATAAATTTCTGCTGTGTTGGGTGTGACCTGCTGCTTACCGTGCCAGACTGTGAATCCGAGGGTATCGATTCGCGTCCTGTTGCCCAAAAATTAATCTCCTCATTTTAATACCATGGATGTGTTAAAAAATAATTCATAAATTCCTATATTTGATTAGAGTATCCCAAAAGTTGGTTACCGTAGATAGCCTTTTTCTACCTCTGCGAATATCTGAATCTATGCTTATTTCTAAACATTTTATAAGGGCTTTTATGCTTGCATTTTGCGTAATTCTTATTAGTGAAATTTTACGTAAAAATTACTTCACACTTTATATCTGTACTATCCCTACTTCTACTGAATTTTCAAACCTCACAAAAGGCCTCTCTCCATTAAATTTCTAATTGAAAAGAATATGTTTTATTTAAGTACTTACTCAATTTCGCCATTTTTGTTGTTATCAGTATGGAGAAACAAAAATATTGTCCAATAAGAAAACTTTTAAAAAAAACGTAGTCAAGTTTGTATTATTTCAATACATTTGGTAACCCAGTAGAAAATCTCGAATCACCATATAGTTTAAACACTTCTCCGATTTTTTCGGAATAAAAATTATATTTAATAATGTGTTTCACGAAGTTTATGCCCACATTTGAAACTGTGATAATATTTTGATCAGAATTTTAGACCAGTATCCCATTTTACACCTTTTAAATGTATTATTTTTAAAACCTTTACTATTTTGTATTAATACCCCTGTAAAACCATCTTCTCTGTTAAATTACATACTAGTGCCGTGAAACACTTCGAATTAAATATAAACAATTCTAGTAATTTGTCAAAAGGAATTAAGAGTTTACTTTTATTTCTTAACGCTAATTATAACTCTTTTTTATGAAAATGTTTTTTTTATAAAACATGACATTTTAAATCTGAAATATACATTAGTATAAAATTGTAATAACAGTGAAATATGAAATATTCTAAATTTGCACAAGTAATGTTTGTGTTACGTGTAAACATATAATTTAATTATACAACATCTTGCATAAAAATAATCAATATAAATATATTTATATTAATTAAAGTGGTATCTGAACCCCATTTATTGCAGCTCAATTCCTTATTATTATATCACTTTTTTCTCTTGCTGAATTGCTCAGGTTTTATTCAGTTTTATTTTGTATTCTGTGACAGCAATTAAAGTTTATAGTAGGAATACGATAATTATTTTTTTCAAATATTACTCAATAAAATATACAAACTAACCCAAGCGCGTGCCTTTGATGTTTCTTTTATCATTTAACTTTATTTTATGTGCATTTTAAATACACATTCATAGTATACATGCTACTAATGCATAAATAGATATGTAAACTGTGATTTGTAGCAAATTTTATGTTTAATTTTCTTGTCTCAAAAAATTTTATTTCATTTAAACAGATTCTGTTATTCATTTCTATGTTATCTTTTGTTTTGTTTTTTAATAGCTGAAGCTGGCATCCATAGACCTATACTAATAATACAATGATTACTTATGGGTTATTCTTGAGATGCTTTTCAGGTGTAAGCCTTAGAAGTAAGAAAAGTTATGAGTCACTTATTTACTGAAGCATTTTTTGCCTATTAAACATAAAATTAAAATGTAACTTCCAATATTTAGGTTTCCCTGATTCACTGAACTTACAAGTTCGCGAAAAGATCACATAGAGTTTATCTTGAGCTAAACACAACCTGTGGATGTTCAAATCTATCTTACTCACTCCCAAGGAAATAGATATGAATGACAACACTTAAACACATGGGCTCTTACTAGGTTATATTTTATATCCCTCCCTAACGGGAGATCTATTTTTCCTTGTTTCTAAGTTTTATACTTCAAACAAGTCCTATTGAACCCCACTTACAATTCTTTGCTAGTTATGTCAAATAATAATTAAATTATGTCGATTATATATGTGTATGTGTTTCGGCAATTCTTGAGTAAAATAATTTGAAAGCTATTGGGTTAATTGTTTGTCCTCCCGGTAAAATCGTGCACGCCACACCCAGCACGTCAGAGAGTGAGAAAGAGGCCTTGTTCACTTATTTTATGGATGGTGTGTGACTGTGAGCGAAATATTAACTGAGAAGTTAGTGTCTGAGATAAATTTATAATTTTTTATCGTCACAGTATTTTTGTTAAACTGAGAATCAAAATAGTGTGCCATCACGTTGCCGTATTTAATGTCGAAATTCGCAGTAATAGTTAAATGTTGTGTTTTGTTTAACACTAGTGATAATAATATAACGATAGGTTTAGGCTTAACGTTATCTACGTTCTCGCAAGTTATACAATCCTAGTGGCTGACGACTACCGAGTAGCTTGACGAAGTTAGCTCTCAAGACGGCGGTTGTTCGTGTTGTACTAATTTGTAGTACCGCGCTCATTCGCCGATTACATTTAGAAATTTGATCATGGCTTGTTGTCTCAGTGAAGAAGGAAAAGAACAGAAAAGAATCAACCAAGAAATAGAAAGACAGCTTCGTAAGGATAAACGTGATGCAAGAAGAGAACTTAAACTACTTTTATTAGGTCAGTGACATTACACATATGACAGCGAGTTGACAAATTATTGTCGTCGGAACTTCCCACTAGAAGTAGAACTTAAGTAGAAATTAAGTCCAGTCTTAGGCTTAACTGTAGGCTTAGTTAAGCCTATATAGGCGTACTATTTAGTAATAAAAAGAGTGTATATTCGTCAGTAGGCCTATTGAGAAACTATTTTACGCTTAATTTTTCTCTTTTGCCTAAATGTGAATTTTTTGGCTTTTTAATAGTCAGCTTGCTAGAAGAAACTAATTTGCTTTAGCTATAATTTGGATGGGAATATCCCTTAACAGTGTTATTGAAAGAAAGCGATTTTACTTTTTCAGTGTAATGGTGATCAGTCACTTTAACTTGAGACTTAGCCATCCAAGCATTCTGCTGTTGCTAGTGGTACTGGTAGGGTAAATAGGATTTTAGGTTGTATCTTCAGAAATATTGAATACAAGACTAAAGATCCTATAATTTCACTGTATAGGTCACTGGTTAGGCCACATTTGGAATATTGTGTTCAGTCTTGGGCTCTTTAGTTTAGGAAGGATATTGAATTGTTGGAAAGGGTTCAGAGGAGGGTTACTAGAATGGTGCCTGGTATGGAGGGGTTGTTATACAAGAAGTTGAAATCTCTCAAAACAAACAAGTGCTAGAGGGGATCTGGTTGAGGTGTTTAAGATTATAAAGGGGGATTGAGAGTTTTGGTGCATCATCATTTTTCATATTTAACAGTGAGAATAGTAGGACTAGGGGACACAAATATAAATGTTGGCAGGGTAAGAGTCATCTTTAGCTAAGACAGTTTTATTTTCCTAACAGGGTGGTTAGCCTTTGGATATTCTGGATGCAGTAAATTTAAGTGAATTTAAGAGAAAGCTTGATAAGTATATGAATGATAAGGGCTGACTTTAACTTAAGATTTTTTAAATTTCTTTATTAATAGTTTTAGTTTTATTTTAAAGATGGGACAGCCGAGATGGACCAGTAGGTCCCATTTTGTTCCAAAACATTATGATATGTTGCACAAACTAGCAACTAGTGTTTAAATACAGAATTCAGTTAACAGTAATTTACTATTTCCATTGCATTGACCATTATTATAACATTATTATTAGAACTCATGATGTTATTAATGAAATTAATACGCTATTTTGGAAATTTGCTTCTAAAAATGAAGGTATATTTGTTCATTTTTGTGATATTCAGAAGAAAATTTATAAGATAAATATTTGGGTTAACATATAATTGTCAGTTCAATAATAATAATTTGGGAATATAATTATGAAGTGTATGAAAGTTAAAACTAAGCAGACAGATAAATTTTTGACTAATCATTATTGACAAATGACGAGACTACTAGTGCTGGCAGTAGATGCTAAATTATGCACAATTGTTTTGAGTGTAGCTATTATACAAGTAACTTTCCTATAATTAGTAGCAGCACTTTATTAACAAAATAATTGCTTAACTATAAATAAAATGATAAACATAGATAGTAGAATTAGTGGTAATAAATAATTTTTTATTCCTTAATTGTACAAATGTAGTTAAACATGAAGTTAAGATAGTTGGCGAGTTGATTTTTTGTTTATAAGAAATCTATTTTTCTAATGTATTTGAGACCAAGTTTTGAAATTTCATTTCATTTGCCCATTTCTACAAAGTTTTGCTTTTGTTTATTTGTACCCACAGAAAATCACTGGCCCCGATAGATGCTAGAATCATAAAAATATTTTTGAATAATCAACAAAATATTTAAATAATCAAGTTTGTTAGTCAGTTTTTTTTTTTTTTTGGTCATTCTTTTTTAAATGCCAGCAGTGCACTTCTCATATGTTACATTTTAATTGAAACATTTTGTTTATAATTGTTATTCATATCAGATTCATTTTGTTTTTGTTAGGGGTACATATACCACTAATCTACTCTTGAAATTACTAATAATAATACTAGTTCAGTAGAATTCATCTCATCTTTCATTACTCACAAACAAAATTACTGCTGTGGTAGAATTTGTTGCAGATTACTTTTGAAAATGCATTACTATGCCTTAATTCAAAAGCTCTGTAATCGGAGTTTTGAAGTGTAATTCAAAATAGTGTAAGAATTGTTATGAAACCTTAGTTGTAACATTTTATACTTGTAGTGTAAGATGGTAAAGGCCATTTTGTTCCTTGAGGGCTCCCTTCACTAATATATACATATGATTAATCAAACAAATTGTACTTCTCAGTTGTCAGACAAACCGTTAAGGTGGTTGATAACTAATCAGAAAAATAATTGAAATAAATCTGCATATGTGCTTCTGAAATGCCTTTTACTTATAATATTCAGGTTTGTTTTTCCAATTTTATTCTCTGTTGAAACATTGCACCTGTGAAAGTTTGTGCAAGCCCTTTACTGCTTTTCTTTGACTATCTAAATAAAGTTGTATGTATTCCTTCTACACCACACCATCAATTTTGAGGCTTGCTCTCCTTAATTTGTGTTTGGGTGCACAACTTATTATGCTTCTTAAAACAGTGGATTTTCTAATTTATGTGAGAATCACAAGATTTTACATGTTTGCATTTTATCATAAACCAATTTGACTAGAAAATGAAGCATATTGCTTACCAAAAGTTGCTAGATGAATATTTTACCACCACTTTCTGAAGCCATGTGACTTGATCCTTACTTCAGGCAAAAGTCTGAAATAAGATGACAGCCTTATATTGAGTAATGAAAGCAAATATCTTTTCTACTTAAAAACATGCTAAAATTTTGTGTATCTCTTAGTGAAATAGTGAATGCAAAGACAGGTTAACTGTAAAGTATAGAAGCATGCACAAGTTTAGCTATTATACCTTTGTCCTAAGAATGGCTTTAAAAATTTTCCACTAAATGATTAGAATAAATCAAGTTTTATCCTTTTAACATTAATAATTCAAAGGAATTTTTCTGAAATTGTAGTCTTTCAATCTAGCAACAAGTGTAACTCCTGATGTCATTGACATGATATTCTAGCAGTTTAGGAGAGCAAAGCTCAGAAGAGTGATTCATTGCTTTACCATGATTTCCAAGTCTGAAGCACTACTATACCTCAAAAACAAAAGTCCAAAACTATGAATTTTTCCTTGTTCTTGAAGTTCCTTTCACCAAGTATCATTCTAATATCTTGTTTCTGTACTCTTTCCAATATGTTGATATCTAGACTATACTGTATATTTAATTAATTTATGATTATAAGGATGTTATTTTAGAAGATTTTAAAGTTTTTGGGGTCCATGTAATGAAAGAATGTAGCCATAATTTTATTTGTAGGATGTGTGCTGAAAGAATCTTACAAAAGATCACTGAGGTTTGCATAAATGTGGAGTGTTTAAGTTAAGATTCTGAAAATAAATAAATAAAAATATTATAGTTTTGTACAGGTAGATTAGTTATATGCTAGACTAGCAAACTTACTATTGTAAGCCTTTGATTTGAGGGTAACTGACTGTTCCATCTTTACATACTGGTGAAGATATTTTTGGAACTGAGAAGAATATTTAAGGAGCTGTTAGTAGGAAGGACGACATTATTATGATTTGTTGTTTTTAATCTGTTGTGGTAATAGTCTCATGTCTGATTTTAGGAAAGTGAAATGTTAAAAACTTCAAGATATATTGAAAACATGGGTGTTCACTAGAGCTGGGCAATTTAATCAATTACCTATGAGCAGTGATTACATGGATTAGTGTTTCATAAACTAAGCTATTCATTGATTAATGTCATAAAAATATCAAGTAATCAAAATTATGACGAAGTCAATTGTTACAGAAATAATCACCTAATTGAAATTTTGTCATTATGTGTATTTGTTGTTAAATGCAAAGCTACATAATGGGTGGATGGGAGAATACTTTGTGATTTGAGGATCTCAAATTTGATTTTCAACGCTAGTAAATTTACTCATCCAGTCTTTGTTATTGCAAGGCTACTAAAGCTATCTGTCACTAATTTTGAGCTGCTGAAAACCCCCACCCTTTCCACTTGTTTCTTTTTTTTTCAGAAATTAAAAAAACAAACTGTATTATTCAATGTTATATTTGTAAGTTTTGGGGAGGGGGGGTTGAAACTCCTCCAATTCTTTCAAAAATTAATATAAACAACAGCCAACAGTATCAAAAAGAAATATTAGATGTAAGTGTTTTTATTTGATTGGTTTATTGATTACTGTAAAAGTTTTGTTTTTCAATTTTGCTAAAGTAAACACAGCTTGGATCAACAGCCAGTAACTTATTTCTAAATGAATACAACAATCTGAGTATCAATTAAACATTACTATGGTAAATGTTCATTTCTTGGCTTTTTCCAAACAAATGTTTGTGTTCTCTAGACTTTAAAGATTTGTTTCGAACAAAGTTAGTATTGCTCACGATATATATTTATAACATATACTTGTTAGAAAACCAATTTTTCATTGTTTGGAAACTGTAATACTTGTGAGAAAGATGTTTTCATATTGTAGATGTCCAAAATAAAGAAGATGCAAGTACTATGACTACATAAGTGACTACTTAAAAAAATTAATAGGCATCATGCTTAAGAATGCTAAAATATGAATTGAGGTGTAAACTTGATAATTTTTTCTTAATATAGTTATAATTGTTTATTTTTAAGTTCAAAGTTTGAAATGTTTGACTTTATTTTCATATCAATCACGTTACTAGAAATACAGATGTAAGCTTTGAAATTGTTGGTTCAATACCTAACTAAGCTACTCTTAATGATTTTGTAGGCTTTCTATTTGACTTTATTACTAAAGTTACAAGTAGTGTGGCTTTAAGTACAAAAAATGAATTATATAAATTTATCAGTAGTGCTAGTAGAGATCTTGTTGCAATCTCACCCTACAACATCTTAGACTACCCTGTTGTGAGTAACAGTTTCTTAAATTATGAATCTGTAAAAATGTTTAACACAATTTGAGATATTTGTGAATCATATTTTTGAAAAATGATTAACATGAG